TTATGCACGCTAGAAGAAATGTGTGGAATGGTACAGGAAGGAACGAACGTTCTTACAACTTTTGACCGTAAACAGGGTAATTCACATGTTGAGATAATATTTTGGTCCAAGGTGTTGTACCACACATGTGAATAATTTTTTAATTCATTTTATTATTGTTTTAAATATCTTTTTTTTAAGGTTTAGCTAGTGGGAATTAACGAAACTTTTGTTCTTCTCTTGTAAAATGAATTAGTGAAAGTGGTGTTGATTAATAAGATCGATCAAAAGAGACAAGTTGACTAATCCAATTGTGATGGTTAATTTAACAATATAATTGTTATAAGATTTTTATAGAAGCTTAGTAAATTTCAAATAGTCTCCTTTTACATAGAGTGAATTGTTGGGAGTCTTATAATGGAAAGAGTTGGGAACATGCTTTGAAAAGCTAAGATTATAATTTAAGTTAATCTAATGCACATTTTCTTCATACATTTCATATGATATAAGTATGTATTTTGAACTGCCAAACCAGGAATATATCTTATTTTCACATTGCGATGAGGATGTTAGGTTCATGTTGCGACAAGGATGTTAGGTTGGTACTTGCTTTCTCAAACCATGACGAAATGCATGACATTGGCAACCTTAATTTTATTTTTAAAATGTGGTCGAAAATTCCGTCAGTATTAGGAGTGATTTCTTATTAGTAAGAAATGAATAAGATATCTTAAACTGAATATATTTAAAAAGAAAATATGAATTTAATTTTTTTTATTGCACTAATCAATAATATCTACTCCCTGTTTAGTTTTTGCTAAATATTAAATTTTTAGTATATTTTAATGAAAGTTGATAGAATATGTCATCGAAAAGTTGATAAAAATTATAAACTTCAATAAAATAGTTGTTAAAATTAATTGTCGACTTTTTAGTTTCAAATTTTTATCAAATTTTTTAGTGAAACCAAATAAGGGCTCAACCGCGTAAAAAGTCATTTCAAACAGTAGGTCAATGTGAATTAATAAGAAATGTCCCTAACAATCAATTAACATCAAGAAGGAAAATCATTTTAGTAGCACCCACCTCTCTCTTTTTTGAGTCAATATCCTTATCGCAATGTGAAAAGTCAATATCCTTGTAGCAACGTGAACCTAACATCCTTCAGATTTTTTTGACCAATGTTATATCATTCGACAATAGTGGAATCTACTTCATTGTGGGACATACATCCTCTACGGCTTCATATATAATATGATTGCATCAATTTGAAAAACTTCAATCTTTTTCAATTACTATAAACATGATATCAGAAAAAAAAAATATGGAGATTAACAGATTCATCAAAATACTGAGTGTACTGATGTTTGTACTTTCACTATGCATGAAACTTAATTCAGTATCTGCTGCTAAAGTTAGGTGCATAGACAGGGAAAGACAAGCTCTTCTCAAGTTTAAGCATGGCCTTGTTGACGACCATGGAATTCTCTCATCCTGGGGAAGTGAAGAAGTTATAAAGGAATGTTGCAAATGGAAGGGCATCTTGTGTAGCAACAGAACTGGTCATGTAGTTTCACTCGATCTGCATGTACCTCCACCTCCGTCGGGTTTTTATGTTTATCTGCAGGCTGCTAAGCTTAGCCCCGCACTGCTTGAGTTGCAGCATTTGAATTATTTGGACTTGAGTTTTATTGATTTTGGAAGAAGTGAAATACCGAGATTCATTGGTTCCTTCAATAAACTAAGGCACTTGAATCTTTCAAACTCAAACTTCACTGGTGAAGTTCCTTGTGAACTTGGGAACCTTACAAACCTGCATACTCTCAACCTTCATCTTAACGATTTGAGAATCAAGAACCTTGAGTGTCTTTCTCATCTTTCTTTCCTGTCATATCTTGACTTGAGTGGAAATGATTTTGGAAGAAGTGAAATACCAAGATTCTTTGGTTCCTTCAATAAACTAAGGCACTTGAAACTTTCATACTCAAACTTCACTGGTGAAGTTCCTTGTGAACTTGGGAACCTTACAAACCTACATACTCTTGACCTTTGTGGTAACGATATAAGAATCAAGAACCTTGATTGGCTTTCTCATCTTTCTTTGCTGTCATATCTTGACTTGAGTAATAATGATTTTGGAAGAAGTGAAATTCCAAGATTCTTTGGTTCCTTCAATAAACTAAGGCACTTGAAACTTTCATACTCAAACTTCACTGGTGAAGTTCCTTGTGAACTTGGGAACCTTACAAACCTACATACTCTTGACCTTTGTGGTAACGATATAAGAATCAAGAACCTTGAGTGGCTTTCTCATCTTTCTTTGCTGTCATATCTTGGATTGAATGGTGTGAACCTTATGAATCAAACCAGCTGGTTGCACAGCATAACAAGGTTCTCTTTCCTTGAGAAATTGTTTTTGTCAAACTGTCAACTTCCCAACACAATGCCTTCCTTCGATATCTTTACTAATTCTTCTTTACCCTATCTGTCCATCCTCGATTTATCCTCCAATGATCTCACTTCCTCTTTTGCATTCCACTGGTTATTTAACCTTAGTGCAAGTCTTACTTACATAGATCTCTCCTATAATCGATTAGACGGTCTGATTCCTGATGCCTTTGGAGAATTGATTTTTCTTGAGGAGCTTTGGTTGAATAACAATACGTTCCATGGGGGGGTTCCAAAATCTTTTGGAAATTTAAGTCATTTATATTATCTAGACATATCATACAATGAATTAAACGGTTCCTTGACAGCTGTTACCAAACTTTCGTCCTTAAGATCTTTATACCTTAACAACAACAAGCTGAATGGGTTTCACACACAAAGCCCTGGGTTACCTTCAAGTCTTGAAAGGTTATTTTTATCTTACAACCAATCTAGAAGGCTACCCGAAGGTATTGAGAAACTTTCCAAGCTCCAATATTTAGACATGTCTTCAAATTTGTTGGAAGGTACAATCACTAAATCGTTCCTCTCAAACTTTGCCAACTTAAAATACCTAGATTTATCCTTAAACTCCTTGGCTTTCAACTTGAGCTCAGATTGGATTCCTCATTTTCAATTGGAGAGAATACTGCTCAGCCATTGCTATTTGGGGCCTCATTTTCCAAATTGGATTCAAACTCAGAGTACTCTTGAAGTTCTTGATCTCTCTTTTGCTGGTATATCAGATGCATTACCTAATTGGTTGTGGAATATGTCTTCTTTATCTAGATTAGATCTTTCTCATAACGATATTAGTGGTAAAATTTCTAATTTGTCCTCAAAGTCGATTTTTCGTGAAGTTGTAGATTTAAGTTATAACAATTTATCAGGTCCCATTCCATTATTTCTTTTTCTTTCTGGAGAATTAAAAATGTCCAAAAATATGTTTTCGGGATCCATTTTTCACTTTTGCACAATTCCTGAGGTCTCCAGTATCCTCGTGCTTGATCTCTCTGATAACCAATTGGAAGGAGAACTTCCTAATTGCTGGTTGAACACGACGTTTTTATTTATTTTGGATTTGGCAAATAATAAGTTCTCAGGTAAAATTTCCCCCACTTTGGGCAGTTTGGATAAGCTTGAAGTATTACACTTGCGCAACAATAATTTCATTGATGAATTGCCTTCAACTTTGAGGAATTGCACGAGGCTGAGAATGCTTGATGTGGGAGGAAACAAGTTAACAGGTAATATTCCAGCATGGATAGGAACACATTTAACAAGTTTGACAGTTCTTAGCCTTCGACGGAACGAATTTGATGGAGTCATGCCTTCAACAATTTGCCGCCTTGCCAATATCCATGTCTTGGACCTTTCTAGAAACAATATTTCAGGAAGAATATCACGGTGTTTAAACAATATTACTGCTTTGGTTCAGAAGAACAGTTCAATTGAATATGGTGATTGGAAATTTTACAATGCTGATTATGTTAACAACGCTTTTGTTCAATGGAAAGGACAAGATACAGAATACAAAACACTAGGACTTCTGAAAGGCATTGATCTTTCTAGAAATAAACTTTTTGGACCTATTCCTCAAGAGTTTTCTGCTTTAAGGGGTTTAGTTTTCTTGAACTTATCTAGAAATCATTTGACTGGAAATATCATTTCAAACATTGGTCAAATGGAGATGTTAGAATGTCTTGACTTGTCTCGAAACCAGCTTTCAGGGAAGATACCGAATAGCCTTGCACATCTAAATTTTCTCGGTGTTTTGGATTTATCATACAATAATTTGACGCGAAAGATTCCTTTGGGCACTCAACTACAAAGCTTCAATTCCTCTGCGTATGCCGATAATAGCCAACTCTGTGGAAAGCCTCTGACGGAGTGTCCTGAAGATATTTCTAGTAGTTCTGTGACTGATCACGGAAAGGGAAATATTTTTGAAGAAGATGACGGGTTTATAACTCGCGATTTTTACATTTGCATGGCATTTGGTTTCATTACTGGATTCTGGGTAGTTGTTATAACTCTATTCATCAAGCATTCTTGGAGACATTCCTACTTCAACTTTTGGAATAATGTTGGAAACTGGATGTACGTGACAACAACAATCTATGTGACAAGATTCAAGAGAAAATTTCAGACGTAAAGGTAAACATTTGAATTTACTTGATCAATCTAGTTGTCATATATCCAAATCTTGACTTGGTTTGATATTGAAATCAGGAGGCCCTTCTAGGAAACAAGAAAGTGTTGACTATCATTCAAACAATATGTTTGCTGGAGAGGTGCAGGGACTATGCATGGCAGTGTTTCTATTTCTATTATAGTTATCACCGTTGTCTTATTTTCTAAGTATTTTTAAAATAATATCAATTCCATACAAATAACTAGCTTTGTTGTGCTTAATCATTGATGTAAAAATAAATTTTAATGGAGATCGAGTATATCACTTGATTAATTAGTTGGTTTAGCTATTTTTATTCAAGCATATGACTTATTTAATTTGTTTGTACTAAAAAACTCAAGCCACTTTCTAGATTCGTTAGTGCTAAATGCAATTAAGTAAAAAATTAATCTTAACTCCACTATATGTTGGAAATATTCGATTGTAAGCTAATAAAATAGTGAGAGTCCACTAACGCTTTAGGGAAAAATACAAAGAACAATATTTTGAAATCTAAATTTATTTATCACTTAGCCTTGACTGCAGAGGTGCTAATGACAATATATAGATAATGCTGCTTAAAATTTTATGTTCCTTACAGAGCAAACACGCAACTATAGTTGTTTTCCCACAATGGAGGCTTATGTCCACTTAAAATCGGCCTCTAAAACACTTCAAATAGTACGAATAGTAGACAACTTAATACATAATATGGAATACTCTATATACCCAATATTAAGTCGATTCTTAATCGAGGGGTAAGTGGATAGTATAATAGAGGGACCTCTCAAAAGCCATTTCCAGAAGTGTACAAGAAGAATGTTGAATTTGGGGCTGAATACTCCTGGATCTTTTGAGGTTATTGGTTCTGTATACGGCTCTTCTCACACTTCATATGTGCACCAAACTAATACAAACTACAACCATATAGCCAGCGACTTCCGAACGCGTGAATTTGATTGACACAAACCACATCAAATTTTGTGCAGTTTTGTGATTGCAATAGCTGTAAGAGTCACATATTATTGATCAACCATTCTACACGTATACTTTTTTTCACATCACACACACATACAAGTGGGTGGGGTCCACGATTAAAATAATCTTGAACCCCACCTTTATGAGGGAGTGTGAAAATTGATGTAAAAAAAAGTGACGTACAAATAGCATTTTTGATTATTGATTCAGTCTTATTTTCGAGTACTATTTAATTCAAGACATCAAATTTTATGATCAACAAGAAAACAATTTGTAGTTAGTAATAGATAATAATCTCCCCAACGGAAGAAAATATGCCGAAGGAAACCAAATAGTACTATGCAAGATCAAAGATTAATATTTGCCAATGATAGATTAAACATTTCGATAAAAACCGTCACTATAACTAATTCTTTATTTCATAGTTGTAATAAAACCTCGGAGTAACTAGTAGCCAGTTGCAGCCACAGTTTCTTCAATTTAAGCCCTCAGAAGCCATTACTCATAAAAACAAACCAATATGAATTCTTTCACATTGTAACACCATTGCTATGGTTGATTTGTCATTTCTTACCACTTGGCACAATCACAGACACCTCCTAGTCAATTGGAGCCAATCGCATGCAGCGATGGATCTAGCACCTGGCGAGCCCCCGAGACCGTCTGTGCTGATTTGTCGGAACTCAATTTTTTTGGCTGTCAAAGTATTCATTTTTTTAGATATATTTCTGTGATTTCCCTGAATTCATACCAAGCCCTTGTTGTTCAGTTGGTTAGAGCACCATAGAAATGAAAGGAGGTCTTGGGTTCGTCTCTCAACTGTTGCAATCCCCTTTCGAAATTATTGAAGTTTAATATTTTTCACCATTTTGGGGCAAATAGACATTAAAATCGGTGCAAATGGAAGATTTGAACCTGTGATCTCCATTGGAGTCATGCACAATTTGACCACTATCGAAGTTGGTGGTTGTTGACAATGGAAGCAACAAAATCTATATATTCTTTTATTAAGTAAAGATATACACCGGCTATTTTTAGAAAAATAAAATTTTTAAATAAAATTCGATCTTACAGTGAGATTATTAAAATAGTCACTTTTTTTTTCTATTAAATTGAAATTATTAGCAAATCGAACCAAGAAAGTAAATAATTGGACCATCTTTCTAACTTCAAATTTTTACTCGATAAACATTATTACAGTGGTAGATAACGTACACTCACACTTACAATTCGAACTACGATATAAGCCCCAGTTTGGCCCCCTTTAAAACTTATCAATTTAATTTAAACTTAAAAATTTCTCTTTCATATTTTCAACCACACAATCTTCAATAAAATAATATTATATGTAAATTGAAAACTTTTCATTCTTTTACAACCATCAATTTTTCAAAAAAAAGAAAAAAAAAAACTCTATTCCACCTCTCCCATTATGTGTAATAATTATGTACAAGTAGAATTTTCATTTGTACATACTCCTCACATTCAAGGAGGGGTGGATTTTTTTTGGTAATAAATAAACGGGTTGGACCCCTTATATGAGAGATATTCTAGTCAAGGTATGTACAAATGATCCAGACAAAATAACATTTTTGTATATCAATCGCTTTTGAAAGGGACATATTGAGTTGTAATTTTTATTAGTTATATAACAGTTGTGAAAACACTTTTTATTGTTGAATTAAAAACATTATCTTTTCCATTCCTTCTATAACTTCTTGAAATAAAAACATTATCTTCTTCATCCATCCTATAATTACTATATTTATTTAGTGCTTCTTTTAACATCAAATAAGCATATTTTATTTTATATAATTAACTCCACTTAGTTAAACCTTATCCATAAGATACAAATACATATAAAATAAATAACCTACTAATGACTATGTTAATTAATAATGACATTTCTAAGTCAACTTAAAAAAATACCAAAAAGGAGTTTTCGATTCAACGGAGAGTCACTCAGCACTGCACGGAGAGAATGCCTTACCTTTCCCCATTAAAAACCAAACGACATCGTTTTCATTTGATGAAATGAGAAAAAAAGAAAATTGGTAGAGAACGACACATATTTGCGACACCTATCCAGCACTTCTTAAACTCTTTTATATATGTAGGGTTAGATAAAGGGTACAAATGTGGTTCTAATTGCTAATTATGAGATCTAATCACACGTTAACATGACTTTTCTATTGATTCTAGTCGTTCTTGTATTTGTCTATCTTTAATGACTTCTATCTTTCACCTATGGTTTGTAAACATCTTGCTGTAAGTTCATTATCAAAAGGTAGTGGTATCGAAGAAAATATAAATTAATTCTTGGAGTCTTTTAAATTCGACGCTTCCTCCACTAGTATATGATTTTTGTTGTCTATTAATCGCTAAATTCTCTAATGGTACTTAAAAATCTGATTATATAGTTAATCTAATATAACAATAATAAATCATAAATAGTAGAAGTCATTTTTAATCAATGGTAAGTAACTAGGACTTTTGGGCACGCTGATATTGTGGGTGGTTAAGGGCATCTCCACTTGCCATTTTAAAAGTAAATTGCTAAAGATTTCTAATAACTAAACCTCCCTTGATTTTCATGCGTACATCCTATGGTTAAATGTATAAACATATTACTTAAATTATATAACAATAATAAATCATAAATAGTAGAAGTCATTTTTAATCAATGGTAAGTAACTAGGACTTTTGGGCACGCTGATATTGTGGGTGGTTAAGGGCATCTCCACTTGCCATTTTAAAAGTAAATTGCTAAAGATTTCTAATAACTAAACCTCCCTTGATTTTCATGCGTACATCCTATGGTTAAATGTATAAACATATTACTTAAATTGTCCTTACGTGAACATAATACTTGATTATTAATTTTTATGTCATGAATGTTTTTCAAGACATTTATGCATGTCAATGCATCCGTAAACATACATGAATTTCAAGAAATTACAGTTGTCAAATGTCAATGAGTCAAGGAATGTTTTTGAAGATATGCATCCCGATTGTTTTTGTTACGAGGTGTTTGCCAATGCCATAAAAGATGTGAGTGGAAAATGGGACATGGGGTGTTGGGAATCTACTTAATATACGCAGCAAAAAATTAAAACAATTTTCTATTCCCACCAGGAATTGTCTTTGTGTTTAGATAGAAATCGTGATAAAAGTCATACCTTTTTCAAGATCTGTAAACTTTTGCTCTTTTTTTTATTCCAGCAACCTTGATCGGCCTCACACAGTTGTCCAATTGTCCAGCCTCCAATAAATTCCACATAGAGAACAGATTGCAGCCACCAAAATTTTCTTCTTTTTTGCTAGCAAGAATTATGAGATCTCTATGGAATGAAAACCCTAGCCATACATTTATATAAGTCCAAACGGGCTAGGTCTAACCCGATCCAATATTTAATTAATCCATTTAATCAAATTTGGTCTGTGAATTAATTAATCCAATTAATTTATTTGGGCCTATAAATAATCAACCCAATTAATTAATTTATTCAACGATTGTTAAATTAATTAATCGACAAATTGTAATCTTCCAATTCTCTTTTGTTTACGACCCATCAGATTCCCGATCACGATATCTAATGACGTGAAATATTGTTTTGATCTAATCAAAATTGATAAATTAAAACACATTTTTAATTTATCACCAATTCATGCTCACCGTCCCAAATTGACATCTAGCAATGTATCATGGCAATACATGTGACGAAAAATGTCACGGGGTATGACAAAACCAAACTTGTTCGTTTACCATGAAATTATAATCCCCTCATCAATATGATCCGATCAATTACTAGATATAAAAGTGTGTCAATCTCAAGTCAATATGAGTCAAAAACTCCTTTTCGAATATGAGTATATCTTGGCCAAAGATTTCATTATTGACTTAATTGAACGAAACGAAGATCACAATCTCTTACTATCTTAGAGTGACGAATCCTATATTGGTCATTCACAACCTTCATATGGTTCTTGACATACCCGAACGATGCCGTATTAGCGACTCTTGGCAGAGCAACATCCAATACCGTCAAAGCATGACTGTCATCATATAAGCCACTATGACGACCTCAAGTCAAATAACCAATTCCACTACCGAACGTTGGAGATTAACCACTGACACTCAGATAGTTATCCATTTGGAATCTCTTAGCGGGTCTCCAATGTTTCGTTCTATAACAAAACATCCACGCGTTCATTTAAGTATCGCCACACTTTAGCTTATGAGATCAGCTACTTACTTCACAAGTAAGAAATGCCACACGTGATGATTTATCTATAATAACGATATTCGTATCTCGTTA